ACCGCAACCAAGTTTTTATTTCTCACTTCTGCTTAGTTTCAGCTTGTGGCTGCAATTTGAATAAACGCTGACTCTGGTGTTATATCTGTTTTTCCGTGTCTGATTCCTAAATGAATACATGTAATTATTGGCAACATTACATCCATTATATTTGAAATGTTGCCAATAATTGACGGCAGCTGTGTACCAAATACGTTCATGAAATATATCGTCGAAGATAAGACGTATAAAATCAAAACGGCAAAAAATATTCAATACACCACCTTCAGGTTTACAGTCTTAGGTCACACCTGCATGTAGATTTAATCATCAGCGCCCTCGGAATCTGACTGGCACAGGAAGCCCATGTAGCCTCCCAAGAGAAGTAGGCAACGGAATTGGTGGTAACAATATGGGACCTGTTTCGCCTTTTGGCGTTAGAAGCGAAAATTTCTTCAACTATTTTTTTACAATGATTATCATATCGGAAGACGCAGCTTCAAAACGATGTCGTTCCTTTTCATCGATAGCAAATTCAATGTTCTAACATGACGACCGCATTTCGAGCGCCATATTGCTTTACATTCGTTTAACTTAACGATTGTTTTTTTACTGTAATATTATGTCTAATATGCCTAATTTACAACGAGTCAACGCCTGCAAAGAAATCGCAACGACCCACCAACAAATTAAGTAAGCAGAAGAAATGAACGAGATTGTGCAAAATACACCATTTGAAAATGGTTATTGCTAATTTTGCAATGAAAAACATATTGAAATGTTCATGTCCAGCATTCATTTTTCTCACCTTATGAAAATAAACGATTGACACGACTCTGCCTCTTGTTATATACACTGTGCCTACCCTTACTATGTAAATATATTCATTGAAGAATATATCTTTGTTAAAAAAAAATTATCATACAAACAAAAATAACATGGTCAAAATTTGTTTGTGTAGGTCCTTTAATTTGCGTAGGCCTCAGGCACGGTGCCGACTGTTCCTATTGGATAATACGGCCCTGCCACTGCCATTAGATCGGCTCGATTGGGACGAATCATGGAGACGAGGGCACATTGTTCCACACTGACCTGGACAGGAATTTTTTATTTTATTTAACAGGTCCTTGTAAATCCACCGCTGGATGAAGACCTCAGGGAGGCTATCTGACCCGGACCCCCCTGATCCGTGGGTCCTGACCACTGGCCTCGCTGAGCTCGGCCCTGAGAAGGGCTCCAGATCTTGGGGCCCAAGGTCCTCTCTTCCAGCTCGGTCTTCTGTCCTCAGCGTGCCGATAACTGAGCCAGAGCTGTGAGCGCTCTGGCTTATATACCCGTTCGTGGCTAGCTCCGTCCTAGCCACGCCCTCTTTCTGGAACCCTCTGGCAGAGGTCGCAACCGGGTACCCGATACCCGTACCCTACCCGATACCCGGCTACCCGTACCTGGCCGGGTACGGGTACGGGTAGCCGTTTGCGACCCTGGTGCGGCCGGGTACGGGTACGGGTAGGCCGTGAGTCACTGGTGAGTAGCTGTTTGTCACTCATTTCGGGTAGGGTACGGGTGCGGCTGGGTACGGGTACGGGTAAGGAATCAAACCATGTTTGCGACCTCTGCCCTCTGGGCCATCCTGGAAGGTGACGTCATTCCCCCGGTTCCCCCCCCTCCCCACCCGGGGGCCTAGGGAATGTGTCTCAGGATCCGTTATTGGGATCTGCCGTTGCCCTCTGTCTGACCCCACGGCATTTGCCCTAGCGAGGTAACACAGCTGCATCCTATCGACAACCAGTGGTACTGCAGGGCTGTGGGATGGTGAGTGACAACTACTCCCACAATATGTAAATTTTTTTATAAAAACCTTGTGTTGTTCCAAGAATTGTTACTCAATATTGAGTCTTAGTTGTGACATTTTTTTATTGGACTTTGTGTTTCCTGTGTTGTGCTTTGTTTTTTTTGTACACGTTTGGAAGCAGCTTTGCTGTACAGGGTGGTCCAGATGCATTGTGACCCCGATTTAATAATTATCTAAATATGTACATATATTCTTGAAAGATTTATTTAGAACAGAAAATGAATATACAAAGGGAAACAAATGTTAGGGGTCAATTAATTGGGGGTCACAAGACACCTGGGCCACCTTGTACAGCACAGTACTTTGTTTAAACCCTTGAAAAATACTCCTGGTCTCAATTACTCCTCCCTGTTTATGAACTTAAAACTACCACAACTACAAACAACAACAACAGAGCCAATGAGGGCAATAACGTTGGCCAACTTGGTCAAGAGTCAAACAACAAGAAAACCCTGGCTGCCCGGATCATGATGTGATCTGCAATGCGCAACATACGTCCTCTTATTAAACCGCACACAAAGGTCCCCCGTATAGCCTTAACAGACTGTAGGGGCAAGTGCTGTTAGCGAGCACCTATGAAGGCCGGAACGGTACACGAGGGGGTGGGTGGCCAGCACCACGCTCGACCGCCTTTGTCTCCCTAGTGGCAATGTTTACACACCGCACCAGGTACTCATTTGAGGCTGAGTCGACCTAGGAGAGGCCCGGGACCGGTTCAGATAATCGTCACTGGTGTTGGCCGTGAGCGGGAATTGGAACTCGTGTCGCCGGGTTCATAGCGCAGCGTAGCGCTAACCGCTGCACTACCGCACACACACACACGTACACATTTTAGTTTAAATCGCGCATACAAGTCGTGGTGGAACATTGTGTGATCGAACATTTCAGTATATCGTAAACAACTCTAGCTGGGGAGCACAAAACCTGTTTCTTCGCTGTAACTGACCCAGCAGGTCATGGATAACCGTACTCTCTTTGCTCAGCGACATTGCCATCTGGAGGTGCTGCAGTTTTGCCCGACCACGAACACGCACGAATTCGCAACGGGGGAAATGGCGCACAGACTCATCCAGAAAGACACCGAAGAAGAATTTGGTTGTATTTCTCAAATCCCCACGTGCGGTTGCACATGCAACTGTGCTTTGAGTGCACAAGAGCGATATCAGAGGTCGCAAACGGGTTTTGATTACTTATCCGTACCCGGCCGCACCAGGGTCGCAAATAGGTACCCGTACCCGGCCGGGTACAGGTACCCGTTCCCTACCCGTACCCGTACCCTACCCGAAATGAGTGATAAACGGTTACTCACCAGTGACTCACGGCCTACCCGTACCCATACCCGGCCGCACCAGGGTCGCAAACGGGTACCCGTACCCGTACCTGGCCGGGTACGGGTAGCCGGGTATCGGGTAGGGTACGGGTATCGGGTACCCGGTTGCGACCTCTGAGCGATATGCAGTGTCGAGTGTGACCCTCGTGTAAGATGGTATTCAATGTGTGCGTGGACAGACAAAAAGCATGTTTGCCAGGAGACTCCATGAAGTAATTTCAACGAGGAAATTCTACGAGGTAATGTCCACGTCGTGCAGTTTCGTTGGGGGTTAAATCGATGGGCAAGGGGCCGTCCATAAATGACGTCACGCACCTGGGGGGTGGGGGGGTAAGACATTTGTGACGATGTGTGACGAGGGGGGGGGGGTGAGAAATGTGACGTCACATCAAAATGCGCAACTTTAAATAAATATAGACGTTATACTTAATAAAATAGACTTCTTAATAAATGTTTTCTCCTACAACATAAGAGTGCAGCGCCGAATTAAATACGCACTACAATGAGAATAGTTTAAAGCGATTTGAAGAATGTTTTATTTTGGGGGGGGCACAGCTTTGTGACGTCATATTTGAGGGGGGGGGTCTGACTTTCTGTTACGCCGCGTGACGATGGGGGGGGGGGGGTCAAAAATCGTCCAAAATCGCGTGACGTCATTTGTAGACTGACCCCCAACCCTATCGCCAGTATCACGTTCGTTGGCATTGTAATGGGCAGTGAGGTCGGGCTGCATAGTCGTGGGAGCATAGAGGTAGAGTACAACAACAGATGTCGCTGCACCGGCAGCAGCCCCACAGCGGCGTTGCTGGGCCATGGCGGTCACCCACAACAAACACTGTCTAGGCTCAACACGGCGTAGATTTCTGGAGGGATAAAACTATTTTCCTTTTATGTTAATTTTTACCAGGTAAGGCCCGCTGAGATGTTACAGCTCTTTTTTTTTTGCAGAAGCGACGACCTGGCCACAAACGATAGCTCAACAAAGTGGCCGCTCGTGGGATAAACCGGAGGACCCGGAAAAAAAATCCACTCGACTCCGGGGAGAGCATGCACATTCCAAATGTTATAGAGCAGGAGTCTATAGCTGCCAACCCATACGTGTTAACCGTATTATTTCACAGGGAAATTGAGTTGGCAGACCCATGCGGCATACAGCCGTTTCAATAAGGGCAAAAAAACTTGTGTGTTGTCTGTTTCTCCTTTGTGATGAGCCTTTGCAGGATGAACGTTGACATTTATAAGGGCCACGGCGGTGACCAATGCGGTCTGAATTGGCCTGTAACAAGATAGGCGACTGATAAGGGGTTGCCCAGGTATGGGAATCAGGGATCGGGATCGAGCCCCACGGCCTCCTGCATAGCAGACAAGGGAGTGAACATCTCGCCACCGTGTCGCGCCCTCAATTATGATCATTATGATAATGATGTGAAGCGGACGTGTCATGCCCAATCGGGCTACCCTGGGCGTGTGCGCGTGGCCGCGTAAAGTGGTTACGGGACACTCGTCCCTCTGTTTCAGGGACTCGATCTGTCGCATCGCAGGGACATCGCGCATTCTACTTTGTCGGGGACAAAGTTCCCTCGTCTCTCTTGAGCTCTCCTTGGGGGCTGAGTCGCCGCTGCTGCGGCTTGGGCTGAGAGTTGTCTCAGCCACAGCCGTTCAGCAGTAAACGGTGGCCGTAGAAAGAGTGGGTCACGCGCGCAGTGCCGGGCGACGACAAGTTACTGCAACGGCAGCGACAAACAAAAGAAGAAGAAGCAGCAGTCGAGGAAGTGACTGCAACGTAAGTTGTGGCTTACGTCAAACGCAGCGTGGTGGGGGGGGGGGGTGTAACAACGACACAAGTGACAGCGCTCGGTCAGTTGGCCCCAGAAGTGTGTGAGCAATGGGTCTCCGCTCGACGCTGGTCCGGCGATGTCAACTGCTGATCGTCTTGCTCGCCCTGTCCCTGCTCATGACCGCGATTCCGCACCACCAGATATTCGCGAGCCTCAACGAGCTGCTGTGGAAGCACGCGGGACGTTTGCCGCAGCCCAGCGTCAACGCGTTTGCAGGTGGTGACGGTGGCGACGTGGGAGTCGATGGTGGTGGTGGTGGTGCCGATGATGATGATCGACGTGCTTTTGACGTCGGCCAATTGCACGCCGTTCGTGGCGACAGCGGCAGGGAACCGTCGGCGAACATCCCCGAGTTTCGGTACCTGCTCAACGAGCCCGACACGTGCCGGCCTCGCGCACCCTTCCTCGTCGTCCTCGTCGCGTCCGAGCCCACCGAGTTCGAGGCCCGCGACGCCATCCGCGAGACGTGGGCCAGCGAGAGCGTGGCGCTGCGCGGCGTCTCCTTCAGGCGCCTCTTCCTCCTCGGCACCGCGAGCCCCGCGAGCGACGCGCAGCGGCGCATCGAGGAGGAGAGCCGACGGCACGGAGATCTCATCCAGCAGAACTTCACGGACGCCTACCACAACCTGACGCTCAAGACGCTGATGGGCCTCCACTGGGTGTCCGTGCACTGCCCGCACGCCTCGTACGTCATGAAGACGGACAGCGACATGTTCGTGAACTTGGAGGTCCTCGTCAAAGCTGTCCTCGAGCAGCAGGTGAACGAGGGGCATCAGCAGCAGCAGCAGGAGGAGGAGCAGGGGGGTGAGATTACGCAGCATGGGCGAGTTCCACGTCCCGACTACTTCACGGGCTACGTGATGCGCGGGTTCCTGCCGAACCGCAACCCCGAGAGCAAGTGGTACATGTCCGAGGACGTGTACCCGGGGGCAAGCTACCCGACGTTCTGCTCGGGCACAGGCTACGTGATGTCGGCCCCGTTGGCCACTCGTCTCTACCGCGCGTCCCTCGCGATCCCACGGCTCCGGCTGGAGGACGTCTACGTGGGTGTGTGCCTGGACAGCCTGGGCGTGGAGCCCGTGTTCCCACCGTACGAATTCCACTTCAATCACTGGCGGGTGTCCTACTCGCCGTGCCAGTACAGCCGCATCGTGACCTCGCACGCGTTCTCGCCGAGTGAGCTGCGACACTATTGGCGTGACCTGCAGCGGCACCGGGACGAGCCGTGCGGGTAGCGCGGCGGGGTGGGGTTGGAGGTGGCCTGGCTGGGCTGGGCTGGGCTGCGTGGGCACTGGAGTAGAGTAATTTTTAAATCCTTTATATTAAGTTCGCTTGCGTGCTTGCTTGCTTGCTTACGACCGTGTAAATTTTCGGTCGTTTTTTAACCCACTTTCCGTGATCCAATCGAGTTGACATTTTGCACAAAGACTCGTTGTGCGTGACAATTAATGTTCGTGAAAAAAAATCCTAAATTTTACACTTTTTAGGACAAAAATATTATATTTAATTACCAATTTCTTAATGCTGCGATGCAATCATCTGACCCATAGGTGGCAGCCATCTCAAGCCAGAGAACGAGAGGACTCTAGCCGCCACGCATATAAAGGATGTATAGTGAAAAACTTTGTTTTTACTGGTTATACTTATTAAATGATGATAAGGTATCGCTGAGTTGATCAGGGTGGCTGTGAGCTCGAGATTACATTGTGGTTGGTTTTATTTTTAACGACAATTTGCGGTTTGCAGAGCACAGGCTCAAAAGTCTGAAATGACAAGATAACACTGTATTCTTGGTTCTTTCGGTAAAGTCACGTATAAGGGAAATAATGAAATAAAATAATACAAATTTAACATACTATAATCATGTTTTATTTTTATTTTTTGATTATGTCCCTTCTACGTGACTTTACCGAAAGAACCAAGAACATGAATCCCTGCAGTCATAAGAGCTTTAAATCGAAAAATAGCACGATTGAATGTACAATAATAACCAGGAATTAATGCGTGTCTTGAATCGAGAGCAATGGTAGGGAGACGGAGATTATAGTCGGTGTGAACTCGGGCTCGATGGGGTGGGCCGGGGGCTTGAAGTTAATACTGCAGTGGCAGCGGTCTCGCGACTGACTATTGCTATGCCGCACAACGTGGTTGACAGCCATTGGCCCCGGTACAACTAATAACTAAACGCCCCCCCCCCTACCCCCCATCTACTTCCCCATTTACAAAGACAAATATCCCCCGTGTAACCTTTAACAGGCTTCATCTTCTTGGTTCTTTCGGTAAAGTCACGTAGAAGGGAAATAATAAAATAATAAAAATAAAACATAATTAAATACAATTTTCACGACGTTTCGGCCACAACGCAAGCAGCCGTCCTCAGGTGAAGAACAGGTCTGTCGGAAAGACAGCGTATGAATGAACACCACCAGGCTTGGCAGCGTATATTTAAGTTGGGTTAGGAGGGGGAAGAGCGCCTTTATTACTTCCCTTCCACGTGACTTTACCGAAAGAACCAAGAAGATGAATCCCTGCAGTCACGAAAGCTTTCAATCGAAATTTAACAGGCTGTTGTGGCACGTGCCGTTAGCGAGTAGCACCTATGAAGGCCGGCAGAGTGGAATACGAAGTAGTGGGGTAGTCAGCAACACGACCGGCCGCCTTTGTCTCTCTAGTGGCGATGTTAACACAACGCACCAGGTGCTCGCAATCGATATATACTCTATTTGATTGGATATTGAGTCCACGGGAGTGTCAACGATATTGATATCTGGAGTGATTGATATTTAAAGCCATTCGCGGTTGACATTGATTGGCTGTGCGCGGTGGAGGTGGTGCGTTGGGAGTCAAGGTTGGTGGATCACGCAGAGATCGCCGTTGGCTCTGAGACTCCCACGCAGCAGGTCGGGCCACGTCAGTGGTTTTCAACCGGTGGGGGGGGGGGGGGAGGCACGCGTTCATTATTCGTACGTTGATTTCTCAGAACGCTGTTGAGAAACCACTGGGCGACGTGCGATGCAAATTCACGCTTTCCCCGCTCGAGCCGGGTCATATCAACTGAGCCGGGGTGGCGAGGGGGAAACGACGGACGGCAGAATTGAATAACGCAAATGGTTGCGTCTTGTTTCAGCACATTCATTGCAATAGCATAGGTATATTGATAAACGATTGTATGTATGGGAGATCGACAACGCGAACCACGGGCACATGTAAATGATATCGATACTGTCTCCCCGACAGACCTGGTCTTCACCTGAGGACGGCTGCTTCCGTTGTGGCCGAAACGTCGTGAGAATTATTTTATTATGTTTTATTTTTATTATTTTATTACTTCCCTTCTACGTGACTTTACCGAAAGAACCAAGAAGATGAATCCCTGCAGTCACGAAAGCTTTAAATCGAAATGTATACATACCTGTCAACCCGTACGGTTTACCCGTATTCTTGTGCAGGGAAATTGAGTGAAAAACTTTTTGTTGTAATTTTTTTGTGTTTATCCCTTATGATGGGACTTTGTCGGATGAACATTGATATTTCTAAGGGGCACGGGGTGACCAACAAGGTCTGAACTGGTCTGTAATACGGTAGGCAACTGATACGGGGTTGACAAGTATGTGTGTGTGTACGATATAGGCTACCCGCCACTATACTTGTCGGCGGTTCCTTTTGGAATGCAGTCGGATTTCAAAACCAGTTTACCACCACCACCACCATTGTCTGCTCCCACTCGTTCCGGTTGATTTCCACCACCCGGCCGTTCTGAGAGCCGAGGTGGGAATTCAGCATTCCTGTCTCGCGTTTGGACAGCCCGTTGCGGACTGTTCACACGTGCTCCTTAAATTTATCGACCTCAAAAAATGATGATGAGCAGAGTCAACCCTCTGACAGCGATTGGAACTCGGACACGCTTGCCATTGTAAGTCAAGCGCCACAGCGCCACCACCAAGCATTTTAGTATTTTGTATACCGGCTCGTCTCGTATAACGAGCGTTCTTTCTATGAGAATTCGCTATAACGAGCATATTTTTTTACTAATTTGTTCTCAAAACAACTAAAATGTTCGCTTAGCGAGCGGAGACTGATCGATCAATATGCGTCCCGTGGCCACAAGGGACGCACGGTGGCCCGCAGCTGTTTGTTTACCAGCTGTGCTGTGCTGCGTGCCCGCGCGTTTCGTCGTGTGGAGGGACTGTGCCTCGTGGTGGCACCGATGGGTGGGTAGGGGGAGGGTGTTGGTGACGGCGCTGAGGACAGCAAGTCGCACTCCGTATGTATGTTGAACTTCTTTCGCGCCGTACGTAGCCAACCGTGCTCATCGGATGTGCAGGGGAAGAACATCAAATTAAACACAAACAGACAAATTTCACATCCCCGCATCGTGGCTATGAATCCAGCACACGTGGTTCGATTTCCAGCCATTGGTAACATCAGTGGCGAGTGATATCACTGGTCAACAAAAAAGTTTTTTTTTCTGGCCTGGACTTTTGCAGCTGTTTTAGACTAATTTCCGGGTGCTGATTCCAAATCTGATCTCAGATTTGCTCTATCACATCTCATTTTTATGCTATCGGCATACCCCATTTTCATTGATTTTACCCGATATTAACTCTGTCACTTATGATTGCAAGTTGTCGCGAGTCAGTGACTGCTTTAGTGTTAAAATATGGTGCTGTATTTTTAGGACAGTGTGTTTATAAAATCATCATTTTATGTAGATATCCACATTTAATTAATATTTTTCTTCTGCAGTTTTTATTGAAAATGCTATATTTGACATCTAAAAAACCTGATGTGATAGACAAAAACTGATGCCACATTTGGAATCAGCACCCCAAAATTACCTTACAACCGTTGGAATACCTTATGCCAGAAAAAGTGTGTTGACCAGTGATATTTGAACCGGCGGTCCGACATGGCCCCTGCTGCTCCCTGCACCCACTAACATTTACCCTTCAAACAACATAAATGCCAGGCACCTACAAGCATTGCGTTTTGGTTCATGTGGGGTGTTATATTTTACGTTTTATTACTTTATTTAAATCGCCTAAATTATATTTCTAGTGTTAAAAAAAGTTGTTCAAGAGTGGAACATTTCGGGACTGAAACGTATGTCAACTTTTAACATGGGAGTCAATGGGAGAATGATGATTGTTGGACTGATGACGTTTTGATCGGGTTTTCACGTAACGTATATCGCTCGTTAAGCGAATCAAGCCTGTACTGTACACGTTTGCGAGGTTGTACAGTCCATGATAGTCTTCGTTGTACATTAAAGGCTGTTTAATTTTTGTTATACAATGTGCACTACCCTGCACATCCGATTAGCACGGTTGGATACGTGCGGTGCATCATGCCATATATGATGTTTTAAACAAAGCTGTTCCAAGCTGCTTTCTCCTTACTGGTGAGCTTCTTGGGGAATTCATTGCACTCCAGGATCTTCTTTATCTGTGGTCCGACGAAGACACCGGCTTTGACCTTTGCCTCAGACAGCTTAGTGAAGAAGTCTTGAAGGTACTTGAAGGCTACCGACTCCTTATCTACAGCTCTGACAAATTGTTTCATGAGGCCCAATTTGATGTGCAGTGGTGGCATCAGCACCTTCCGGGGGTCCACCAGTGGCTCCCACTTGACGTTGTTCCTCCGTACAGAGAACTCGGTCCGCTGTGGCCAGTCCCACCTGGGCTAGTTTGCCTTGGTGTCCCTGCTGTCCCAAAGGCAAAGATAGCAGAGAAACTTAGTAAAATCGCCTTGGAGACCCATCAGGAATGCCACCATTTTGAAGTCTCCGATGACTTCCCAGCCATACTAATCATACTTCAAGGCGTCCAGCAAGGTCTTGATGCTGTTGTAATCCTCTTTGAGATGCACCGAGTGAGCCAGGGGAAGAGACGGGTACTTGTTACCATTATGGAGCAGCACGGCTTTGAGGCTCCTGGATGAGCCATCAATGAAGAGGCGCCACTCATTCTGGTTACAGGTGATTCCGATTGCCTCGAACAGACTGGTCATATTGTGGCAGAAGCAGAGCCCATCTTGACGGGTGAAGAAGCTGCAAAAAGGCTGGTGACACTTTCTCTGATCTGCGACTTGCACATTTTAATCCAACAAGTTTCACTGCATGAGTCTAGACGTCAATATCTTGGCATTGGACTTGGTGATACCAAGATCTCTGATCAAGTCGTTGAGGTCCTTTTGGTTGGGGTAGTATGGGTTTCTCTCCTCAGCTCCACCTCTGAAATTGTCATCTGGATCTACGTCTTCCTCGCTCTCTGACTTGCTACTCTCTTCTGACGGAGGAGTGGGTACGGGGAGCTCATGGCAGTGTGGCACCGGGGCGATGGATGAAGGATGGTCCGGATACGTGATAGCAGGTGCATTCTTGCCAGTCCGACGTTTGGAAGGGTCCACCATGCGGAAGTAGCAGTTGCTTGAGTGGTCAGTGGGTTCCTGCAAAATTTTTGGGATAGCGAACTTCATGGCTGTCTTTTCCCCTCTGTACCATCCTACAAAAATATATTTATTTCACCCATGACTAATGTGTAAGAGATTCTCGCAACATTTTTCATATATGATATATTTTTTCAATAACATTGAAAATTGTAAAACATCTTAAAATGTAAAACTTTTACAATTAAAAATAATGTATAACATACAATTCTGAGCAACAATTGTCCATCTTACCTTCCAGAGTTTTTTTCACTGCTCGCAGGTGAAATGAGGTGCCCAGGGTTTGTCTTAATCCCTGACAGGCATGCCGAAATATGCCTTGTAGGCCTCACACATCTTAGCAGATGCTTCCACAGAGTACTTTTTCGCTCTTGTCTTGATAAATTGGCCGCAGACATAGCAAAATGCGTCTGCCGGATGCTTGCAGCCTCTTGATGCCATCTCAGAAAAATGCAGATGTGTATCCACTTAGGCAACTGCAACTAAACTGAACTGGTGGGCTTAAGGCCCCTGTATTAATACTACTATTTATATTACTCTCGAAGTTACTCCAAGTTTACTCAGCACTGAATCTATCTGGAATGTTCTGGAAAATAGTTACATTTCAAAATATCACTGTCCTGGTCACAAAAGCAAAGTTTGTGGGGAATAATAGCCATTTTCTGTACTTTTGAGGCATAAGCAATTAGGAAATAACACTACCCAGGAACAAAAAAATGTGTTACACAGTGTTATAGAAGCATGTTTGTTTTGCATATTTTACCACAAGCATGTGTGGTTTATTATTCAGACT